GAAAAAGCTTGTAAATACACGATGATCCCTGTTTAATGTGGAGCAGAATAAGGCTGTTTAAGGCCTAACATTAACAAATGAAAAAAATCGTTTTTGAGTGCTTGCCTTGGATTCAAATGTGCAATGCGCTTGACCAATCAGAGCACTTAATACAATTAGCATCAGTAATCACCTAATCAAATTGAATTTTTGTTCAATAAAAATCTTTGAAATGCGGCTGTAGCTTTTTTTTCCCCAAAACTTTGTCTTCAAAATAAGAGTTGGTCTTATACACCAGTGCGTCTTATATTCTGAAAAATATGGACATTCCTCAAAAAAGTGGAGGGGGTATAGGAATGAATGGTAACATCCATATTTGTCTACTCCATTGGCAATAGACAAAATGGGAATAAACCTAAAAAAAATAGGTTGTCAAATATAGAATAAGGTTTAGATACAAAAATCACTTTGGCACAGTTTTAGAAACAAACCATTTTTGTATTTATACTGTTTACAATACAATGCAATAAACTTTTAAAACATTCACACATCGATGTTTTTTATGTACATGCACATATACACTACAAATATATCACATGAAAAACCTAGCTTGTTCTCAAGAGATTATAATACTGCTTTAAAGTTTTTTCATTTACAATAAAGTGGCATACCAAGTTTACAGAGAAAAAAATATATATATGATTACATTAGAGTAAATGAAATGGGAACATGCTGAATGAATATGATATTTGGATTTGATTAATTTGCCCTCCCCTAACTGAGAACAAAAAATCGTTTTGGGGCATAAATAGTTGCTGCACAAAACTTAATTTTCATGGCACTGAACCTCACAGTACTGTAGCTAGTTAAAAATACTAGATACCTTAATTTGAATCTTTTCAGTAATTTACGCCCCCCCCCACCTCCAAAACAAAATACAATTAAACATCAACAATTTGTTCCTTTTTGCAGCACAAAATAAGAACAGTACTAGCACAAAATAAGAACAGTACCAGCACAAAATGAGCCTTGCATTTCTGTGTACTTCTTTAAGCATTACGTTACTGCTTCTATGCTTGTATTGATGGTACCAGCAAAATGGTAGCCGTTAAAAAGTTTTTACCTATGGCACAAACCAGCACAAAACTTGCATAGTAAAATATCTAAATTGCATTTAGCAGGGGGTCAATGTAATGGAATAACTGCAACTAACGGAATTTGCCCATAGACTGCCAAGCCTGAGTGCATAATAGGACGTGAAAATATTTCTTTGATTTTTAATTATTAAAGGTACTTAAAAACAGTGTACATCAAAAAGAAAGAAATGAGAAATTTCAGATGTTTTGAACAAGATAAACAATGGTTACTTATGTAAGTTGGAAGTATGATAAAAAACTTTAATACTCAGCAACAGATAAGTTTTAAATAGTTGCATCTATAAGTATGATAAAAAACTTAACAACAGATAAGTTTTAAATAGTTGCATCTTTAAGAAAAGTTTTTCACATAAAAATAAAAGAATGTAAGTCAAATAATGGGTACTGACAACAAAAAAAAACAATTAAAAGAAGAAACTAAAGTTTTCCTGTAGTGAGTGTTAACATTTTAATTTGGTAGTTAGCTTTCACATACACAAGTATTTAAAATCTTTTTTTCATTTTACTAAATTCTAACCCTGATATTCCTGAGTATTTATTAAGGATTAGACATTTTTTAAAACTGCTTTATTGATTATCGGAGCAGTTGCTCAGCTCACTTCCGTTAGAATCTCTAGCATTTCTAAGAAAACTGATATGCTTATGTATATTTGTCAACTCCAATTTTAAGACTTGTGAATAAAGATATTAAGATAATTTTTTGTGAGTAGTGTTATTATAATTTAATGAGTAGTATTACTGCAGTAAGGCCCTGTTAAAACTATTATCATTAAGACTAAGTTAGCCTTGGCAACCTTCAGAAAGCTAGTTTGATTAAATGCAGCAAGCAATTGTCTAAATTGGAATTTGTTGAAATGAAGATTTATTTCCTTGTGAACTGGCAGTTGGATGACGTTTTGATCCACTTTTGTAATAAGGACACATGGGAGTGATGGGTACATTGCCTTATCAGCAGTACATCAGGCAGGTTGTTAATTTCAACATTGAATTTATATCGTTTACTTCATTTGCTTTGAAACGGATTTAAGAACATATATATATATATTGTTTTTTACAGCATTCAGGTAGTGCCCAATTTTCAGTCACACAATTACTGGGCAGTAAAGTATCAGAACTTCACAAAGTCAGCTTAGATACCTTTAATGATAGAGGTTGATGATGATGTTTTTTTGTGTGTATAATGTATATCTTCTTATATTTGTGCAGTTTTACTTATATGAATGTGGCTGATGGTCTATATGTTGTATTTTTCATTACTGTCTTGACAGTAAGATTAGTTGGTTACATCCTGTTCACATAATTTTTAATTAAGTGCAGATATCTGCAATGAAATTTCAAAAAAGTCACCTGATTTCAGATGTATTAAGTTTCTAAATTATGAAAGAAATATAGCCATGGTAATTGCATGTCACAACTCCTCTTATCTGAGGATCATTCTCAAACCAATAAATCACCAATTAAATTAAAATTGTGTCCCAGCTTGTCATAATAAAATCATATTCTTTATGTTTTGTAAACCTCTAAATGCTGGGATGATGAAGAATGCATACCTCTAACACTGATGGATAATGGAGTGCCTTTAAGATCCATGGCAACATATGCTTTAACAATATTTCTCATTTGTTTAATATTTTGTAAGTATACTAAAACATTTTACATATTTTTAATTGTGATTTGTACCCATTTCATATTTTTTCATCTTAAAATTGTTTTATTTTATTTTCCATTATAAGATTTCATAAGACCAGAGTAATACCTCTTAACATTATGATAACTTATTTCTTTACATTTAATACCTCCATGTTCATATGATGTGTGTGTATGTGGCAAGAAGTATTTAAGTCCAAGTCATAATAGTGTTAAAAACATGGTTATCATTACACTTCAAAAAGGAAAAGGTAATTATAATATTAATAGCTACAAAGTACTTAGAACAAATTTATGTGTGTATGTATCTTTGATCCAAATTGTAATAGCAGGGCATTTATTTGTGACACTTAAACTGTTAAGGATGAAAATAATCACAAGTAAACTGATATTCTGCATAAGGTTTGGGATTGACAGAAGTTGCACAGATAAAGAATATCACTTTTAACTAACCATAAACTATACATATATGTGTATGAAAGATAAAGTGACTTACAAGTGTTTACAAATTATATATGTAAATAAGGGTGAAGATACTTTTATAATTGCATCCTTCTTTTTACTTTAAATAGAAGGCTTTAGAATAGCCTTAAAAATTTACAATTTTCAGGGGTCATCTGATTATTAGTTTCCTTGTCTTAGCTGAAATCCTTGTGGACCTTGACTCTCTCTAACTCATTGGTTTCCTTTGGCAATTTGGGGGCCATCCCCAAAATTTCAAATGTGTTACTTGTCCTTTACTTGTTCACAATTCCTCAAGTCTCTGTTCATTAGACAGGACCTGATGGTGGTATTTCCAATGTATCACCTTGACCAAAGAAAGTTGGTTGGTACTACTCTAGGAATCTATTATTGGCAATGTCCAGACCTTGTAGGTATCTTACTGTTGCTGTTTTCTGTAGCTCTGCTCAATCTTGTAACAAAATTAGCCTTCTAAAGTTCTACTGGGAGACCCAATATTTTTCTTTGAACTTTTTTAAAAGTGCCACAAACTATTTGGATGAGTGATCTTGTGACTGATCTCTTTGCAAATGAACAGTTATATCCCCTTGTGTGTGTTGTTGTCATACCACACCCCTCCATTGGACATTGACAAGTGTTTGCCTTTCTCTTGGTTTATGATATGGCTGAAGTCTGCTATAGTAGGTGGCCAGAAGACTGAAATGTACTGTATTACTGATCTTGTGAGGCATTGTTGATGGTTTAACAGTATTGATCCATGGTGCTGGTTAAGAATGCAGTGGATGATATCAGCAACAGGAAGTTTCCTATCTTGTACATTAATTAAGGCTATCATCTGGTCAATTATGATTGAAATCAAAGATAATAATTTTCAAGAAAATGGCCTTATATGACAAAAATTAAGATAGAAAATTCTAAGCCAACTTGGTCTCTGATAGTTCAGAACTTCAGTCAATAACATATAGTTGAAAATAACTTTATTGGTCACTTCTGAATTTTTTGGAAAAATTCCATGACAGGATTTTAGCAGTGAAATAAGAATAAGTAGCATAACTTCGCAAGGTGGTATATACGCATACCCTGTGCTGAAAATAATGTCACTCAAGCTAGTGGCAGTAATCAAGACAATGGAAAAAAAGAAGAAAGAAAATGACATGAACAGGCAAAAAAGTCCTATATTTTAGGAATGATATAGAATGACAAATTTTGAAATATGCATTTTACTTTTTTATTATCATATACATGCCTAAACCCTGTAAGACAAAGAAAATTGCACAAACAGGTAAAAGATGAAAAAGAAACAAATAAATACTATAATTTAGGAATGGTATAAAA